TTAAACTCTGGTGTAAAGCCGTGAGCGAGATTCTGCGAGATTTAAGAAGGACTGCTTTCACCCCCACGCCATCTAGCGGCAGACCCTTAAAGCGGGTATTCCCCATTATTGCGGAATTTTTCTTGGTCACAATAAAACAAGTGCCATAACTTATTATTTGATATAATAATAATGAAAGTAAAGTGTTAGAGCTGGATCAGATTTTAAAAAACATTGAAAAGAAATTTAAAAATGAGCACATTCCCTCAGTTCCAATAAAGCCAGGTCTATGACTCATTTAACATAATGAAATAAATGAAAAACTTTGTTCACAGGCTTAATGTAATACTCATAAAAATCTCTTACAAACAGGAAGGCAGGGAAAGGCAAATGGAATTTTTTTCAGAAAAGAGATTTAATTCAGTCACTCACACTTCCTTTTTTACGCTCCATAGAGTCAGAAATAACAGAGGATGGACATGGAACAATCACAACAGTGGTCCCAAGACAGAAAGCACTGGAAGTCTCAAGTGAAAGGTTTATGAGCGATCCGACAAAAAGAGGAATTACCTATTAGCTAGCACTTAATGACTTACCTTGATCCCATACTCCACGTTTACACTCCTGACACACTGCATCTCGCAAGACACATGTGCATGCATGCGTGGTGAGGCACTTTCTGCCATGACACACCCAGCACTCACAGAAATCACAGATAGCACCCTGAAATCAGAAGATTTCTTTCAAATTTGAACTGTTCTTGTATGAAGATAAATTAAGCGTGTTTACAGTCTTGTCAGATTGGATGCACTTTTTTCAACTTGTCTCACAAAAAAACCTTACCTCGAAAACTGCTTTACATGTTTAGATTGGTTTAAGGTAAATCCACAGTACTCCAAATAGACAAAATATTGGTCTGGAGCATCAGTCATGCTATAAAACAACATTTTTTCATTTAATTGGACTACTACTGATTTAGTTTGTGTCAAAGTAGACTAAAATTTTGGTTATAAAGTTTAGACCAATTTTCAAGCTTAGGTTCTTCTGTGAAATCACCCCAGGTAGTCTGATTATGATACGCTCATTGTAAGAGCTAGACCAACTTAAGGCACAAGATGCACTAAAATGGATGGAACAACAGAGAGATAAGAGCTTATCATGGACACAGGGTCTGCTGCCTTTCACTGTACTGAAATGGGTCAAACCAATCTGACTAAAAAGACATCCACATACTTGCATGATAAAACTGACTTAACATGCAACAAGATGCAAATGGTGATTTATATTGATGCAAAAAATTAATGACTTCTGTAGCCAGTGGTAACTTACCACCATTCCAAGACCAGTTGTGAACTGTCCAGGATGTTTTACGACACAGTCTCCAGTCTTCATCATACATTTCTGCTTGCCTGAGGATATACAATGGACACAATATAACACCCCATTTCCATAGATTAGATCGACCTACTTTAGTTCGACCTAACTCCCTGGGGGTTCACGCTAAATAGCTGTCAGCCGGGCGGACACGAAAGTTAATTACCCCCTTACAGCTTGTAGTAGGCGGGACGGACATTTAAGTCGGATTATCTGAAAGTAATCTAGTGAGACTCCCCGCGGGGATAGATCGATCTAAAATCTATGGGAATAGAGCCTAAGACACAAAAAATACCAAATACTTCTTATCATTATAAACGCAATCATCAATCTTAAGTCAATATTAATGCTTATACACATACTCTTAGATGGCAGTACAAATTTTCTGAGGTTTCAATAAAAAGACATTTTGAACCAGGATGTGTTACATGTGACAGTTGTGATGAATTGTGATATTTTGTATTCAGTGTGCTACCCGGGTTGTATTTTGTTTGGTGTACTGGTCTAGTTGAAGTGTGTTAGATGTCACGTGGATTGTGTTGGATGTTTTGTTAAGATGCATTCCATTTGGTGCTGGTTGAGACAGACGCAATACCTGTTGACTGAGACTGAATGTGTTAAGACTCCTGGTTAAGAAGAACATTTTAAAGAAAAAAAATCAGCATAACAAATATAGTGTTAGGTGGTTCAGTTAAGATGGACAATATTTATAAAAACGAATGACACCTTACACAAAGTATTGGTCTGGAGCATATTTAGTCATATTTTCTTTGACTAAAATTTTGCCAAATTCAAAAGGTGATTAACATTGATATAAGAAATTTAATAATACCCCAGGTATGTGCTAAAAGAATATGAGATGGAGCAAGCAGCAGAATTACTGAATATATACATACCACATTCTCCACAAATAGGCAGTCTCTGTAAAGCACTGCAAAAATAGCAAAATGCCCGATTTTTCTGAACTCTGAAACAGACGATTCACCACAATAAATTCATAGTCCTATTTCACAAAATTGACATAATTTTTCATTTCAAAAATAAGAATATGAAAGATATATGAGCTGTCCTTCTCTTTAACTTTTCTCGATCAAATTTTACACAAATGATTTTCAAAAACTTGAAATTTTCAGACTTACTAAATATTTTGTTCATTCTTACCTTTTACACTGGTCACACTCCTAAAATTAAAAGTATGTATTCTTTAATTAATCAATAAAAGCATGTACAATATTTATAAACAATACCCAGTTATATGAATTCACATCTTATTTTTTAGGGAAAAGATTCTCTCTCCTCAGAGGAATTAGTAATCTATCATATATAAACAACCCTCCTACAAGATTTCAAAATTAAGATATATAATTATTGTTTTAAAAAGAAAAAATTGGCAATTGATCAGTAACAACACTCCTACAAAATTTCAAAATTAAGAAAAAATTATTTTAAAAAAGAAAAAAAAATATTGTTCATTTTAACTTACAGAATTTGATATTGATAAAAACAGCTGGAACACTGTTTTATGTCAGAAAAATGAATACAGCTTTATGTATGAGTGTGCAGGCAATTTTAATTATCACCATGGTCCATATATCTTATGATTAGGACTAAAAAGTTAACAACAAATAAAACTGATGACTCAGCTGTGATCATATTTTGTTACAAAAGTATGATCATGGACTGAGATTTGACATCAGTCTCACAGATGTCAATATGGGGGTAGGGTATGGACAAGAGCTTTGGGGACACTAAGTCAATATAACCAATGTACATGTAACATCTCTTGTCAATGGCAATTGAACTATACGATTTCATTAGGTCCTACTACGGTTGCTGTCACATCAATCTATGAATGAATCATTATGTTATTACAGACTAGTGTGGTATTCAAAGGGGGCTACAAGTTTTTCAGAATAACATTAAATGATTTGACCAAGGTGACAGCTGAGTGTACAGATGTATATATGTCGGCCTCCACTCAGGCAACTAATTCAGATGGGTCTGACAAAACTTATTTACCATTATTGAATTACAGGGTCTATCAGCAAGTGGACGGCTGGCAGACCGGATTTCCCTCTGTCTCTCCTTCATCTTCTCTGCCTTCTTCCTCGCCCCCGTCTTCTTTTTCGGCATTTTTACGGTCAATTTTTAAAGTACAGACTTCAACTTTCAGAAAGCATGACTAGCATGTGGCAGTCAAGAGGGCACGACTCCAATGACTAACAAATGTCCTTAAAACGAAACTTTAAAAAGCTCAATAAGAATAGAAAAATATAACATGTGACACAAACATGTATAAAGAAGAAGTGAACCGTTTTATCGGCAAATTCAAGGGGATATGAGTTTTATTTTTAAGGCAACTGACCAACTATAACGGAGGACAGCAATTTTCCTTTGCAAGTTTTTGCGCATGCGCATTCACAAGCGGAAATCGCCATTTTGCAAACAAGTTCGAAATGTAGGTGTGTAAAACCAGAGACATTTTTACTTCACAGCCATGGGATTACAGCCGCTCGAATTCAGTGACTGTCTCACTGACAGTCCGTATTTTAGAGACAATTTGCACTCACATGAGAAGGAATTGGAGCGAACCAGCAAATCGATCAAAAATCTAGTGCAGGAATGCAAGGAAGTGTTGACTGCAACCAGAAGTAAGTTAAAACATCGATAAGGCTGTGACATATTTTAATAC